TAGTTTGACAGTCTGCTCAATGCTGCTCTGCCTCTGTATCCATTTTTGTTCATCAGTCTATAATGGTCCTTATTATCCATAAATGAGTGAGTTCATGTGGTATTTTTCTCAGCTTCCCAGGGGCCGTCTCAGCCTCACAGGGGCCATCTCAGCCTCATTGGGGCCGTCTAAGCCTCACCGGGGCCGATTCAACCTCACCGGGGCCGTCTCAACCTCACCGGGGCCGTCCCAGCCTCACCGGGGCTGTCTCAGCCTCACCGGGGCAAAACAGAATTTCTTTGTAACATGAAATTGACCTAAATGAATTAATTTGTTCTTGAACTATTACAATATTAAGTTGCTATGATAAAGCTCATGTTAAGCAATTGTGCTGCTTTCTTAAAGTTTATTAAGTCTTTTTAATTTTCTTTTAGGGGGAAGAGAGGGACAATAATCCACTGTTCTAAAGAAAAAACAATCTAAAGGAAATTAAAATTGGAGTCTTTTCCCCTTGGTAAATTTCACTATTACAAAGAAAAACTTACAAAGTCTTTTGTTCACCTTAGAGCCCAATATCTATAATTCCTTGTACATAATAACTACTACAAATCATAATTATTAACATTTTCTAAGGACTTAGCATATGCCAGGTTGTATAAGCTTTTAAGACTAGGAGAAAATACTATAGTTATGCCCTCTTTACAAAGAGGAAGAAACCAAGGCTCAGATAGTTTAAATAATTTTCCCAGATCACATAAGTGGTTAGTTAAGATTTGGAGCACTGTGTTGCCTGATTTCAAAGTCCAAGCTCTTAGACTACAAATAATTGCAGAGATTTGTTCTAAGGCATACTTATTTAAATGAATGAGGATGATTATTATAATGAGAGTGTTTCTCCTACAATTTTAAACAAGTCAGATTCTTCTCCTCATTCCAAAATGCTCTTCAGTTTAATCTAAGTTATCAGATCAAAATATGAACTGGGAAGCATTAGGGACTAGTATTTTTTTTTCCGGACTTCAACACAGGGCCCACTTGACACTTTGTTGATGGTTACAGAGCTTTCACACTTGTAAGTGCCACAGAATTACCAGGTTGTCATTAGCAATGGTTCTTAGTAGGAGATCTAAAACATTTCTGTGAAAATGGCTGATACAGGACACATTCTCCACTAGATGGGGTAAGCCAACGAGAGCTGAGATATGAGTGATAATTAGGCATCAAATAGCATGGCAAAAGCCAAGTATCTTAGGTGGGGTCTGCCTGTTGAACCTAAGAAGGTCGCTATAGAACAAGAGTGGTTCCTGTTTTCTTGGTTGTGTTTGTTTTGGTGATGAAAATGCAAGATGTTCTCAAATAACCAAAATATCCCTTTCATAGGGAGATGGTAAAGCCATCAGCAAAAACTTCCTTAAGATGTCACACCTTAAGACAAATTCTGGATGCATAGAAATGGCTTAGTAAATCACAGCCAGGTGGTTCCTGGGAATGCCATCTAGGAGACAACAATCTGCAAAGTTGGGGTGATGTCAAAGGATGTGTCTATGCCTTAAAAAAACTAATATATGGTGCCATCTTCTCCATGGCCAGAATACAAGGGTCCAGGGAGGAAGTGGGAGCGATCCCTCTCATATTTATACTTAATAATTCACTAAGTTTTTTTTGTTTGTTTTTCTCCTGCAATTTTGGTTTAAGTGAGTGGAGGTCTTATTTCCCAAGGAACACTTCCTTCAGAGAATACAAACATTAAATTATACCCTTTAAATTGGAGGCTCTGACTTCCCTCTGGTCATTCTGGGCTTCTCAGGCAATTGAGTCAATAGCAGAAAAAAGGTTTTCAATATTGGCTAGGGTGATGATCAAGTGGAAATTAGGTTGCTGCTACCACATGGGACAAGGAGAACTATGTCTGTTTCCAGTGGATTCACCAGGGTGTCTCTTAGTACTCCCATACCCAATAACCATAAAATTAAAACTATAGCAAAGCAATAAAAAGACAGGACCACCTAGCAGTGAATCCTGTGGAAATAAAGGTTCGGGTCATCCCACCAAGCCAAGACTCCGCTCCAGCCAATGTGCTGGCAGAAGGTAAGGAGAATATAGAATAGATGGTGGAAGAAGAGAGCTATGAGTACCAGCTTAGCCTCATGATCACCTACTGAGGCAGGATCTGTAGGTACTGTGGATATCTTACATTCATTGATTATTTCTTCTTCTCCACTTCTCTAGTTCCCCCCATGCCCGACTATCTGGCATGAAAAACATTGGTGGCGGCTAACTTCACAATTTAGGTTCCAGGTGGAAGAATACCTGACATTATTCAGCTGCATTGTGGTTGGTAACTGTGTTTGCCCTGTGCCCCAGGAAGCTAAGCTCCATGGACTTAACACCTGGGCTCATTGCTCACTTGGGTTCCACCAATGGAAGGCACTAGCAAGAGATGGGCATGCAGAAGGAGAGTGAGTCTGGGGTTTTCCCTGCTCTGGGCTGCATTTTCTTTTTTTTTTTTCTTTCTTTTTTTAAATTTTTTTTTTATTATTAAATCTTTATTGTTCAGGTTACATTTGTTCCTCTTTTTTTCCCCCCCATAACTCCCCTCCTCCCAGTTCCCGCCCCACCCTCCGCCCTCACTCCCCACCCACTGTCCTCATCCATAGGTGCACGATTTTTGTCCAGTTTCTTCCCGCATCTCCCATTCCCCTTTCCCCCCCAAGAATAGTCAGTCCATTCCCTTTCTATGTCCCTGATTCATTATAATCACCAGTTCATTCTGTACATCAGATTATTTATTCACTTGATTCTTAGATTCACTTGTTGATAGATGCATGTTTGTTGTTCACAATTTGTATCTTTACCTTTTTCTTCTTCCTCCTCTTAAAGGATACCTTTCAGCATTTCATATAATACTGGTTTGGTGGTGATGAACTCCTTTAGCTTTTCCTTATCTGTGAAGCTCTTTATCTGACCTTCAATTCTGAATGATAGCTTTGCTGGATAAAGTAATCTTGGTTGTAGGTTCTTGGCATTCATCACTTTGAATATTTCTTGCCACTCCCTTCTGGCCTGCAAAGTTTCTGTTGAGAAATCAGCTGACAGTCGTATGGGTATTCCCTTGTAGGTAATTGAGTCTCTTTCTCTTGCTGCTTTTAAGATTCTCTCTTTGTCTTTTGCTCTTGGCATTTTAATTATGATATGTCTTGGTGTGGTCCTCTTTGGATTCCTTTTGTTTGGGGTTCTCTGCGCTTCTTGGACCTGTAAGTCCATTTCTTTCACCAGGTGGGGGAAGTTTTCTGCCATTATTTCTTCAAATAGGTTTTCAATATCTTGCTGTCTCTCATCTTCTGGCACCCCTATTATTCTGATGTTGGTACGCTTGAAGCTGTCCCAGAGGCTCCTTACACTATCTTCGTATTTTCGGATTCTTTTTTCATTTTGCTTTTCCGGTTGGGTGTTTTTTGCTTCTTCGCATTTCAAATCTTTGGCTTGATTCTTGCGCTCCTCTGGTCTGCTATTGGGTGTCTGTATAATATTCTTTATTTCAGTCCGTGTATGCTTAATTTCTAGTTGGTTCTTTATCATAGCATCGAGGGTCTCATTAGTTTTCGTGACTCTCTCCTCAAGTTTATTGACAGCTTCTAGCACATTTTTGCAAGCCCTCAAAATTGCGATTTTTAGCTCTATATCCTCCATTTCTGTCATGTTTTTTTGTCTCCGCATTTTTTATGCTTTCTTGGTGCACCCCCTAGTGGTCTTTGTGCGCAGTCTTGTTCTAGTTAAGCCTTGATTGTTGTAGTTAAAACTAGAGGGATTTGACCACCAGGCCGACTGGCTGTGAGAATCAGCTGTGTCTGCAGTGGGAAAACTTCTGTCCTCTGGAGAGGCGCTAATCTAGCCTTTGCCT